TGAAGTCACATGGAGTGGGCAGAAGGCCACAGAGTGGGCATTTCATTTGTAGCAAATGTGATCCTTTAAACGAAGAGTTTCAGATTTCCTTGTGGAAGCTCTCAGAATTCATTAAGTGTCAAGGGTCCTATCTGTGCTCCCTCACCAACTTCCTGACCTAAACCTTCCTTGCCAGCTCCATTTGCGACAACTCCCATGATATCACCCACGCCATCCACATGGTGCCACTGGTCGTCCGCCCTTATTCCAACATGCCTACTTTCCACATTTGTGTTTACACTATTTCCTCCATGTGGCAAATTTTTACTCAAACTTCAAGGTCTTGTTCAAATATCACCTCCTCTTTGACTTATCTCCTTCTCCAAGGCATATTTATAGTTGTCCCTTTCTGGGCTCTGACAGAATAAGGTACAAGGTGAAGGAATTGGGAAGGCAAACCTACTGTCAAAATGATTGCATTCTTGCACTTAACAGCTGTGAGCTCTTAGGCAAATTAGTTCATCCTCCCGAAGCTCAGTATACTAATATTTAAAATACTATTAATCCTCTTCATTTATGGAGATCATCATCAGTACTGAATTGCTATCATTTGCCTGCCTATCTATTTCTCTTTGTGAGCTCCTTGAGATGAGAGATTGCTTTTTAAATTATTTTTGCTGTCCTACAAGGCACCCAGCATAGCACCTGGTGTTTTGTAGCACTCAAAGCTTTTAAAATCAATGGATATTTCTGAAGAAGTAAGTCAAGCCTTGATAGGCCGCTGAAAGTCTAAGTTCCCTCTGAGTGCTCTCTGGTCATTCTTATGTCCATTAATTTGAGTTTTCATAGCTCTTGTACATACTGTTAATAAGACTCTTGTCACAATCTGCTTCACACAAACTAATTGATTTCTAAGTACGGCAGTAACAATGCTGTAGAAGTGCTAGCTAATGTTAAAGTTATTTGAAATGCCTGATTATCTTTCTCATTTCAAACAGTTTTTCTTCTCAGTTTAAAATGAGTTTCCTCCAAGATCCCAAGGGCCTTTGTAACAATGACATAAATTGTATAGTCTTTGTCCTTGATTCAAAGTGAGTGGCATCTCCTGACCCAGCTTTTCCAATTTTCCACTTAGTTGCTTTTTCCGTTCTTCAGTGCACTTTCTCTTCATTGTCCTCTGCTTTCTACTTCTTCTCATTGCTGCATTATTCTCATGGGGATTTGGAAAACTTTGGCTTATTATGTCCTAATCCATAGACTCATGGGGAATTACTGCCGAAAACCATCTTATAAATTGTTGAATCCAGGGACTTGAAATAAAGAACCATTCCCTATGTCATATTAGGCATGGCTAATCAATCACAGCATTTTTTTCCCCTTGCTGAAGTCATAAATGACCTGGGAATCATTTTCAACACAGCACTTCAGGTAAAAAGTATCAATTCATTAGTCTATGTAGGAGATGACCTTGGTTGCCATCCCTGATGTAGTTCAAAGCCAAAGAACAGTAGTGACTTAGTAATGAACTGAAATCAGAAGCTGGGGGACTTCACCCTCATGATGCTTAGTTCCATGTTTCCCTTTGCACACAGCCTTGTATGGTAAATGGTTTTCAGGCTTTTCTGCCCTCCCGACATTAGCATTGCAGAACTGATGGCAGGTACTGCAGCTGTTACATTGTTATACTTGGTTGTATTGTTTACTTCTGTGGGCCATGGCTGCTGCATGGAGATATTCACTATGAGAAGCAGAGGCAGGAGAGAGAAGAAAAGAATGCCAGAGAGCCCAGTAAAGAGAGAAGATTCGCACCGGGCAGGGAGGCCTACTGGCCTCCGGGCCCCCCAGCACCCCTACCTGCCGCGTACCTGGTTGCTGCACTACCTGTAAAAGCTCAATAAAAGCCTGAGAAACCCACTGAGGGCTCCAGGACTCTACTTCACCCGTCTGGCCTTCTCCAATCAGAGAAAACCAGCTCTGTGCCCTTCCTGCCACTACAGAGGTACTGCCTCTCCTGCAATCATCATTCAAGTCCTAGAATTGATATTGCATTCATTAGCACATACATAGTTGTATTTTACATATATGATCAAAAATCAAACCTCACATGGTGGGAACTTATCTGGACTCTCGTTGCTGTAATAGCTCTTGAGGAGAAAGTCCTGAGTTACTCTTTGTACCAGAAGTTCTACCTCTGTGTCTGGCACATCACAGGAATTCAACAAAAATTCTCTGATATATGTATTTACAGGTAAATACATGAAACACACAAGCTTTCCAGACATACATCTCGCCAAGAAGCCCAGAAAAATCCTATTACCTTACATATAAGTGGCATTCCACACATAGAAGAGTGTCACACATGTTTACATAAATTCCAATGTTCCATGAATGTTGGAGGTGAAAGTAAGTTATATGTCAATGACTGCACTGCCCAGTGATATTTTTACTTGAAAGTTCAGAGGGTGTTCTTGTGGCTGGGGGTTCAAAAGTCCTGAGAAATGACAACTTTCTTATTTTTTTCATGGTGGCATCTACTGACCATAACTTGTGGTCCTGTGTGATGCTCAATGCCAGAATAGGCAGACAGAAAGGTGAGAAAAAAAGATAAAGAGAAAAAAAAATTAACAGAAGTGGGGATAGGTATCTTATAATAGCAATAAGATATTAGTACTATCATTTATAAAAAGATTTAAAATCTACATAACACACAGCTAGCATCATATTTAATAGTGAAAGATTGAAACCATTACCCTTAATGTCAGGAACACGACAGGAGTAACTGCTATTGCCACCTCTGTCTAATATGGTACTAGAGTTTCTAGTCACGGCAACCAGGCATAACAAAGAAATAAAATTCATCCAGATTGAAAAGAAAGATTAACAGTCTCCCTTTTACAAACATGATCTTACATATAGGAAATCTTGAGAAATTTATCAAGTAGCTATTTGAACAAATAAATGGATTCAGCAAGATGGTAGGACATATGATTGATACACAAAATAAATGTATTTCTATATACTTGCAATGAGTAGTCCAGAAATGAAATTAAGAAGACAATTCACAAGTGAGAGTGAAACTGGACTCCTACTTCATATCATAAACTTACCCAAATGTAGGAGGCTGAAATTATAAAACTCTCTAGAAGAAAATATGGACATAAATCTTTATGTTTTTGGATTAGACAATGGTTTCTTAGCTATGTCACTAAAATAAAGAAAACATAGATAAACTGTAATAAATGAAAAATCCCTCTTGCATCAAGGATACTACCAGGGAGTGATAAGAACTCACAGAATGGGAGAAAATATTTTGAATGTATTTATTCAGTAAGAGATTAATATCCAGAATATATCAAGAACATCTGCTACTCAACAGCAGCAACAAAACAACCCTATTTAAAAAATGGGAAAGGCCTCTGAATAGACAGTTCTCCAAAGAACATATACAAATGGTCAACAAGAACATGAAAAGTTCTCAATACCACATAGTCACCAGGAGAATGCAAATCAAAACCAAGAGATATCACTTCGGACCACCTGGGAAGATATATAATAACAAATGTTGGTGAGGATGTGGAGAAACTGGAACCCTCGTGGGAATATAAGTTCCTCAAAATGGTAGTTTTTTTTTAATGAAATTTTATTTTTTTTTTTAAGATTTATTTATTTTTATACAAGAGCTGGGGTACAGGGCAGAGGTGTGGGAGGGTGAGATAATTCACCAGAGGCAGAGCAGGGAGCAGAACAGGCAGACAGACTGAAATACACTGCTGAGGGGAGCAGCGGGCTAGACAGGAGAGGTCTGCTGCGCCATGTGGGAATCTCCCTGGCCGGCCGGGGATCAAACCCGCCCTGCAGAGGCTGTGGAGAGCTTCACAGTGCTCAACCCACTGCACCACTGGGGAAGCCCTCAAAATGGAAGTTTTGGCAGTTCTGTCAGTTCCTCAAAATGTTAAACATACAGATATCATATGATCCTGCAATTCTATTCCTAGGTATATACTCAGTGGAAATAAGAATATATGTCTATGCAAAAATTTGTATACAAATGTCCTTAACAACAGCATCCATAATAACCCCCAATGGAAACAACCAAATGTCCATCAACTGATGAATGAATAAATTAAATGAAGTATATCCATATAATGGAATTCTACTCGACAACAAAAAGAAATGAAATACTTATACATCTTCTATAATATGGATGTACCTTAAATACATTAGGAGAAGTGAAAGAAGCACTCACAGAAGACTGCACAGTGTATAGTTCCATTTATGTGAATTATCTAGAATAAACAAATCTATAGAGACAAAGGAGATTAGTAGTTGTTTAGGGCTGGGTGGGGACTTGGGATAAATGTGAAGTAACTGCTATAGGGTTTGTTTATGTAAATCCTGAAAAACATGTTTTATAATTGATTGTGTTGATGGTTGTTTAACTAAATATACTAAAAATCACTGTGTTACATGCAATAAATTTGTGGATTCTATGTTATGTGTGTTATCCTTCATTAAAGTTGCTATTAAAAGATACATGTGCATTGAGTGAATATTTTCATTTTGGTGATTATATTTTATTTAATTCTTTTCTATGTCTGTCACAACAATCCATGTATTCACTTAGATGACCCTAATGCACATTCCTATGACCGTTTTCTTAATTTTATAAAGTGTCACAGAATAGACATATTTATGATGAAATCCAGTCACTTAGAATATTTCATTTGGAAAAAAAAATTAAGGATATGAAAACACCTAAACTGTCTTTTTTTCTTCTTCATTGCCGTCATTACACCATCATCATTAACTCATCATTTCTGCTGACTACTAGCAATTTTATCCTTGATATTGAATAAATTTACTATAAGTCTACTGCATCAGAAATTGCATCATTACTTCTAGAAATAAATTTATAACAGTACTTTACTGCCTGGTAGCTCCATAATTTACCTGCTACTGAAAGCCTAAGTGTTAATTATAGTTAAATCCATGGCAACAGATTTTAATTTTGTTGTACCTACCCCTTTGGAATCAATAACTCCAGGTTTTGCATTAAACTTCACTGTCTTCAATCTGGCACGTTCTTTTCTTTCCACCCTAAAGAAAATTGAAAATAGTCAATGGCATGGCAAGGCATTTATGATTAAGCTCTTGTTAAATGAAGAAAGCTTTGTCCTTTTATAGCTCAAGTGAAATGGATTTTGAGGTGAAAGCCTTCCCAAAATAATTTATTCATATTTCAAGAACCTTTAAAAATGTTCATGCCCACTGATACAGAATCTCCATATGTTAAGACCTGTGCTAAAGTAATAATCAGAAAGGCAGATACAGATTGAGATAGAGGGATTTTTCACCACACTGATGTGTTTGCGACATCTAAATAATATACTAAATGTCTCAAAAAATAAAATACATTTATATATTTAAAATGTGTTCTGAAATATTTCTGTTCCTTTGTTCAATATAAATTTCTTGGCATAAAGTCTCTGATACTATGTCCCTTGAAATTTCTGTGTTACATGGACTGAACATCACAGTATTTGGAAGAAACAAAGACGAGAAATATCAATTTTGCTATTAAATGTCTGAATAATCAAAGTAATTTTCAAGCAATCACACTTGATAGAGATGAGCTCATACAGTGGAGACTGAGTAAACTTCTTTCTTTCTTCTCTCTTCACTTTCTACTCCTTCTCCCCATTTCTTTTTATTTCCATTTTCTTCCCTTTAAGAACACTCCCCACGAGACCAAATGTAATAAGATAACTGAACTTTCCCTATTTAAAAAAATTAATATATTGTTTTTTTTTTAAAGATTTATTTTTATTTTTATTTATACAAGCCCTGGGTACAGTCAGAAGCACGGGAGGGTGAGAGAATTCACCAGAGCCAGAGCGGGGAGCAGAGCAGGCAGAAAGACTGAAGCACACTGCTGAGGGGAGCAGCGGGTGGCAGGAGAGGTCTGCGCGCCATGTGGGACCCTCCTTGGTGGCCGGGCAGCAGACGGGGAGCAGCCGGGGATCGAACTGGCGTCGCAGAGGCGCGGGCAGCTTCTCAACCCAGCGCTCAACCACTGCGCCACCGGGGAGGCCCAATATATTGTTTTTTGATTGTAATTAGATACCCCACCAGATATTGCCACTATAGTGCACCCACTACCAAATCACCCATGGTCCACCACTAGAGTCCACTGTACTTCCTCTCCTCTTTGTTCAGATGCCTCCCTCACCCCTTTTCTGGATGCTTCAGTTCCTTCATCAGCTTTCCAGGGTTAGTTTTTGAATTTTTCTTTTTCCCCAACATCCTTCTCCTATCATTTCTGTAGATTCATCATTTTACCTCCAACTTCATTCATTCATCACTCACTGAGTGCTTACTGTGAATCTCGCAAGCAGCTAAGGAACAAATTACACAAACATTTGTGATGCATGACTGCAATGAGTACCCAATTATGCCCTCTTGGTAGAAACAGAGACAAAGTAAAACCAATAATGTTGCACAATGGAACTATGGATTCAATGCGAGAGTATTTATCCATCAGAGAGTAAAGAGGGGTGGAAAGCATTTGGGGTTGGCTTCTTGGAAAATGTGCCAATTTATGTGAGATGTGAGCATGAGAAAGAGTTTGTCAATAGGAAAAGTTATGAGAGAATTTTTCAGACGGGGAAACAATAAGACTCGTGACCCTAAGATTTGGACTAGTTAGAGGATTACAGGAACATTCTGGAACAGAGAAGGATGAGAGGCTGGCGAGGTGATGGGAGCCCATCCACACTAATGACTTGGGTTTTCCCCTGTGGAATCCTTCTATGTCATTCATTAGAAGATATAAAACAGGGATGTGATACAATTTTAAATAAATTTAGAATTTTAAATAAATGACGGGTGGGAGAAGATAGACTGGTGGCAGGAAAGGTCAGGAGGAAGCCAGCACTATTTATTAACTACTATGGTAATCCAGGCAAGAATCATGAGAAATGGTAATCAGATAGAGGAGAGGTGAGGGCTTGAAAACTATTAGGGAAATAAAATTGGTATTATTTATGCCTGCTGGCAGGCTGGGCTTGAACATGAAGGAAAGAGGGGAATTTAAATACCTCTCTGATTTTTTTTTGGAGCCTCTCCAGTTAGACATGATCTTCCTCAAAGCCTTCATAGCTCTTCCTTTCTTCCTCAAAGCCATCATAGCTCTTATTTGAATTTCTATATTGCTATTACCTTTTTTTTTTTGAGTTTGTTTAGTGTTCTATCGCACATACAAGGTTGGATGTTCCTTGAGGGCAAGCCCACATATCACTGCAGTGTCATATAGCTAGTCTTCAAGAAATAGCTTTGACTAAAATAATATTTATTGCATTGTCTTAACATGAATTTTTTGTATAAATATGGTTATCACTAATTTCAAAAACAGGGAAAGAAAAGAGAAAAAAAACCCTGACTCCATAGAAACTTAATGGTTTATGAAATCTAAGCTATTCATAGATCAATAATTGACAATATAGTCCTTTCAAGCTGAGAGCTCTTTTGTGTTTCTAGCTGAAACACTGTGAAGATCAGGGTTTCTATAGTTACAGAACAAAGTTTCAGATTATATTCATTTCTATGTGAGAGTAGAATATTTGAATGGAAACATCTGAACAAAAATATTCAAATCTAATTTCAGAGATGAAACCAAGAAGTTCCACTGACAGCTTCTATTTGTACGACAGGCTGGAAGGATAGCATGACTACAGAAAAGACACCAAGTGGAAGGGTGCTCACTAAGAAAACTGCTCGGAGCTTCTTCACCTTTTCTCAGCATTGAGCGTAGTGCAAATGTTAACTCATATTCATTTCTTTGAATCCTTCTAAAGCTGCTGTTATAGCACTGTGTCAGTCCCAGCTTCTGTGCACTAACCTGGTAACTATGGGAAACACTAGTACATTAGATGAAACCAAAATGATCATATCATGCACAGAAGTCATGGCTGTTTTGATCAATCTATGCAAATACATTTTACATAAACCCACAGACCTCACATGGGCCCCATACGTAAATAATATTAAACTGAACTTAGTATTCTTTTCTAAGAATTGCTTAGACAGAACTCTAATATCTCCCCCGGTTTTAAGTTCATCCTTCTTAGATTTCTTAAGAAATGTTTCTTTGAGGCCACTTTTAAGAGTTCATTCTTTAATCTTAAGAGGGCTGCAAGGAATGTTGTCATAAGGGTGGAGAGACAGAAACACATATATACACATATGCATACATATCTACTATTTGCTATGGTTTTATTTATCTTCAAACAGGCAATAGAAAAAGTGAAAAAAGAAAAAAAAATCAAAGCCTTGTGGGATTGGTACTGTGGTTTTGGTTCACTCATGAAGGAAGTCAGAAAGTTTTGCTTTCCACTTGGGCTGAAAGTTTCATTAATAATGAAAATGATGGGCCTCCCTGGTGGCGCAGGTGGTTGAGCATGGTGCTGTGAAGCTGTCCGCGGCCTCTGCAGCACGAGTTTGATCCCCGGCTGGCCAGGGAGCTACCCACATGGCGCAGCAGACCTCTCCTGTCTCGCCCGCTATGCCCCTCAGTAGTGTATTTCAGTAAATCCTCCTGTTCTGCTCCCCACTGTCTCTGGAGAATTCTCTCACCCCCCACACCTCTGGCCTTTACTCCAGTTTAAAAAAAATAATAAAAATGATAATATAAGTAGTACTTGGAACTTTAATGATCAATATTAGTGAAAAAATCCTTTATAGGTAGATCATCTCATTCGGTCACCACCACAACTATCAATAGGTTACCAGTCCCATTTTATGACTGGGGAAGCTGAAGTTTAAAGTTTGCCAAAATTAAAGTGGTAGAAATAGGGCCTGAACACACAGTTGCTCACAGCTGTCTTCTGTGTCTGTCCACATCCAGTTTTAGGAAAAACATTCGAGGACCTTCCGTGCCTCCATTATCCAATGGGAATTCTCAACAAACATGAGATTTGAGATGGGTCATGAACAGTTTAAAGGCCAATACAGTTTCTTAAGGCTGAGTTTTTTATAATTGATAATTCTCCCTTCCCTTGCATCCATATATCCCAAGTATCCTTAATTAAACAAGCCATAAAAAAATAAAAACATATTCACAGAGATAATGCCATACTATAACAGGTTGGCCTCAAAATTCAGAATAAATTTGCCTTTAGCACTGAAAGTCAGGTTAGCTAAATGCCTATTTGCAGCCTACCTCACAAGTGTCAAACTGATTTTTCTCTTCAGTAATCATTTTTGCATGCCCCACCAGCCCTCTGCTTTTCCACCAGAGAGCCCACGCTGAGTGCCTCTTGGTGGTCAGCAAATCTCTCTGCTTGGTAGCAGTGGCTGCTGCAGGAGGTCTTGTTGCCCCAGCCAGATAGGATACTGACAAGCAGCTAAGAGAAAGGGCCTCACACCGTGGGGCTGAAGATCTGGCATCCCTTTGCTTTTTGTTCATGGACATAGAGAGAGAAAAATTTATCAGAAAGTATATTAGGCAATAAATTATATGTATCAGCATACTGTAAGTAAATAGCACAGAAAATTGTTTGTTTAAAAATTAGTTGTTGGGCTGTTTGGCTCACTTGACAATGGGAGACAAGTTATTGAACATGCCTGACAAGCATTACAATACAATAATCATAGTAGATCCTTCTATTTTGTTTTCTCTTGAAGTTTTTTGGGGAAAGTTTTTAATATGAAGCTATTTGAGTAAAGGAGTTTCTAGGTAGAAAAAGTTCTGATAGCTGAACAGCAGCTGGTCTCCGGCTGAAGGTCATGTGAATAGAATAGTCCTTTGATGCTTAGGCTCTAGCTGATAGGGATGCACTGGCGGTTTTTCACTGTTTTAAATAATTGTCTAAATGAAAAAATAAGTAGCTTTAATGTTAGGTTTGGTTTATTATCTGTTAACCTTGAAAGCTGCCGTCTAGCTGAGACCTGTAGGGGCCAGTAGTCTATGGGAAACATAATATACTAATTGTTTATGCTTTACACATGATAATGTATTTTGTTATTATTATTACTAATAATGAATAAATAAAGACCTGCGGAGTCTCGCGGCAGAAGATACTAGCACCTCACCAAGTGTC